ATTAACAAAGTTGCCAGTGGGAAATTTGAAACCTGACCTTAAGAAGGAAGCTAAAAAAAAAAAAAAAAATAGAAGAAGGATGCTAAAGACCACGTGGTGATAATTAAGTATGCTCCCTTAATCTGAGCCTATTATTATTATATTACTATTTTTAATGCTGGGCCAGTCTATTCCTCTTATAGGTAACCTGATCTTTGCAACGTCCTATAAGGTATTACACAGCACCTCAAGAACTCTTCAGGGCTCGTTCAGGAAATGGCAGTGCCAACTGCAAAGGCAGAGAAGGTGTAGGGTACCTGAGGGTGGGAAGGGGTGAAGGGTACTGAGGAGGAAGGAAGCCATGAGGGGCGCGGTTGCGTCACCCAAGTCTCAGCCTTGCGATGCGCTTTCCCTCCCCTCCTGCTATCTCCTTCTTCTTGGCATCACTTAGGTGCGGTGGCTGCAGCGTTCTGGACTCTTCCAAATGGATCCCTGACTGCACGCCTCTGCTAGGTCCGAGCGCTGCGGTCGGAGCTGTCCAATCAGCACCACAGCCGCGGCCGCGCCCCGCCCACCGCGCCAACGCCGCCGCCTCAAGGACAGAAAGGGCGGCTGATGTGGGGAGTCGGCTTTAGGCCCTGACTGGCCTCTGAGCTGGGGAATGCCAGCGTCCCTGCCTGGGGTTTTCCTGAGAGTTGAGGCTTTGGGTGGGAAGGGAGACAGAGGGAAGGAAGGAGGAGAGAGACCCTCTGACCCCCCGGATATCAGATGGGCTGTGAGCTCAGTTGCCTCTCTGCCTTAGGACCCTTGCAGCTGAAGGTGGTGTGGAGCCCACATAGATTCTGCCACTGAGAGATTGAAAGATAAGGAGCCAGGAGGCTAGGCTGGGCTGGTGCTGGAGCAGGGTCCCTAAGTTGGGTTGGGCAGCCACTGGGTGGGGCCATGTCCAGCCTGTTCCCTGGAGAGTCACCACCGTCTGTACTCACTGCTGCCCTCCAGCCTGTCTCACTCCATCTCGATTTGCTCCTTCTCTTCCCTGAGTGGTGGCGACTCTTCTTCCTATACTTTCTGCCTCTTAGCACCTGCTGCGTGTGAGTGCGCATGCTGGCTGCCTTACCTGTACTCTCTCACTGGGTCTGTACTCTGCCTGCTGATGGCTCCTGACACATGAGGAAACAACAAAAGAACTTGACATCAGGCCACATAGCAAGAAGCCCCAGAATTAGATATTTGGAACTTCAAAGCCTTTACTTTGTCCACTACCTAACCCGCTTTCCAGCTGGTGTCATTTGCTGCCCCTTCTGTTAGTGGCGTGGCTGTTATAGGCAGCATAGACGGTGTCTTTCCTGGTAAGGTGACAAGTTTCTCTCCAGGACAAGCAGGCAGGTTGGCTTCCTCCCCTAAGTGCATGGAAAAGATGGCTCTTTTGTTGGTGAAATCCTGATAGAAAACAAAACAAAACAAAAAACAAAGCAAAACAACAAAAAAAAACACACCTTGCTGGGTCCTGGTGGTGTGCCGGGCATTGCTCTAAGCTCATTACAGGTGTCAACCCCACCTAGTCCTCAGAGCGGTCCTGCAAGGCTGGCTCTGGTCTGAGTCTCATTGTTTTACAGACCAGAGAACCCACAAAGGTCCTGGACTTTGCCTGAGGTCATACTGTCAGCAGATGACAAAGCCAAGCTTTGCACCCAGGAGTTCTGGCTCCAGAGTTGGTTCTCTAACCCCCATAGCACCAATGCATAGACCCAGGGACACTAGGAGTCCATCTGTGAAGTCCATGGAAGCCACCAAACTGGCTGTGGCCTTATTGTCAGACTGACACAAATCAGGACACGTTTGTCCCTGTGGCGTTTGGTTTTGCCTCTCTGTGCACATGGTACAGGCTGCTTCCCCACCGCACATGCCCATTCCTAACAAGCAAAACCTGGATCTCAAATCATCATGGCTGCCACTGCACCTGCCAAGACACCTGGCACATGGGCAGCTTGCATTGGAAACGATAGTCCTGGAGCCAAGGGGTCCTGCTGTGAACCTGTCAGTGAGGTGCTCTCCAAATGGGGACACAGAGAGGGAACTAGAGATACTTGAGACTTTCCTCTTGTGAGTGAAATTCCACAAGAAGGAAGAACAGAGAGTGTGTTTGAGGGGAGGTGATCTGGCAAGATTGCACAGCTATACAGAAGAAAGAAAAGGGGTCCTTCCTGTAGCTCCCAGTACTAGTGCTCCTGAGACCCTCTAGTCACATGGTGAAGGTGTCACACAAGAGGATCAGTCCTGATTTCCCGACTACCATCATTAGTGACATCTTCACATAACCTTGGCCTTGTTTCTCTGGAACCTTTTCAACTGACCCCAGGTCCGGGGGTGCGGGGCTGTTACAGTGATGCCTGTGAATGTTGGAAAGCCACACTGTTTCTGGGTAGAACTCAGTCTGCTCAGGGCATGTGGCATGGGAGGCAGGGTGGGTAGAAAAAGCTGCTCTCATTTCTCAGGAAAAGAAAAGTCTGAGAACAAGCATGGCATCTCCTACATAGTTTGGTCCAGGAAGGATGCATACCAGTTCACAGCCGGCACCAGTCTGTTTGGGCCCATAGGAGAGAGCATCCAGGCAGGGGTCTGCCCCGTGAACTTTGGAGACATCACTGTCTGATGGACTCAATTAAAATCCCAGCCCCCATATGCCATCCTTCATTGTCCCAATTCCCCACTGCCTGCTACCAGAGACCCATAACCCAAGTCTTCCTCTATCACCACCCCATCCTGGTGTGCTACTTGATGTCACCTGGGCATATCAGAGTCTTGACTCTTGCTGCCTACAGTTCCACATGAGCCGCCTGCCTCCCAGCACTACCAAAGGCAAACAGGATTTGTTGGGCAGGGAACGGGTAGGGGCAGGGAGAGCTGGCTTCCTCCGAGAGTGTTGGGAAAGAAGAAAGAGGCTACCTCTTACCCTAGCTGCCTGTGTCTGGTTTTTCTTGCATTCTGCTTTCCACCCTGTAAACTGGATTCATCCTCCCTCTCCCCATCCCCACCAGCTTCATCTCTGGAATGCCCATTGTTGTCCATCAGCAAGCAGAGAATTGGTCCTGGAGGCTGAGGCTCTGCAGGCTGAGGCTGGACAGGTACTAGATGGGGGTGGCTGACAAGATCTGCCTCTTTCTGGCTGGCTGACCTTGGTCCTGTAACCCTCTCAGCCACATTGTCCTTACCTGTACAGCAACGATGATCAAACATACATACCTTGTAAGGGTGCTGTGAGGGTTAGAGACAGTCTTAGAGGGACTGGAGCTGTGACTAGGACTGTGACATATGCTTGAGGTCCACTTGAAGGTGCTGAGTCCCTGTGACCCCTCATTCTGGAGACTGAAACCAGGTTGTGACCCCTTTCCCAGAAAGTTGAGATAACCCTGTACTTGGGGAGCTTTCCTGCAGCAACCAAATGTGTTCTGATTCCCTCAGGTCAGGCAAGGGCTGGCATCTGGGGAGGAGAAAGGGCGGGGCCCTAACTGCAGTGGGGAGGGTGGGTGGGACGCCCATGACCTACCACGGGAATGTTTTTAAAAATCCTCTTGCCATCGAGCTCTTGAAAAAATGATGATGTAGTGAAAGCAGCCACTGCGCCTGTTCCATTAGCAAGTGAGGTGGAGCAGCCAGGTCTGCCTTAGGTCTCTGGTAGCTAGAAGTCAGACCAGCCTTAGCCAGAGGGACTGGGGAGGTCTGAGCTGTCTTGGGCCAGGTCTGGCCGACTGGAGCTGGGAACTGAGAATGCTTGCAGGACAAGGTCGGTGAGTTGGATATCTTGTGGGGCTCCAGGGGCAGCAGGACCTGGGTTGGGAAGCAGCTCCCTTGGGGGAGACACAGGCAAAGCTGAGGAGCAGTTCTGATTTTCTTACCTGATGGTGCTCCCAAAGGGGTAGCCTGGGACAGAAGCAGAATGGATCACATGACACCTGGCTGGTCCCAGCAATGTTGACATTCCGCGGGCACAGCTGGCACGAGTCAGTTGGTGCAAGACCCTTCTAGGTGGTTGGCTGGTCTGCTGAAGCAGTTTCAGCTCAGCCCAACCTGTGCCAGAGGACAAGGTCAGCAAGTCTGCACTTGAGCCACTGGTCCTGCTAGCCATTATCTTAGATGTGCATTGTGGACCTTGGGGATGGAGATGAGTGCAAGAGAAGGAAGATCAAGTAAATGCAGTGTCACCTGTGCTGGGGAAAATTTCTGGCTCCAACCCCATAGGCTAAAGCGCCATGTTCTCTTCTGTCTGGAAGCCTTCCTATTTCTCTCCCTGACTGCTGTTTTTGGATTTTTATCCTACTCTCATTTGAGGTATGAGGAGGTTAAATAAGTCACCCAAATTTTTGCAGTTTTAGAAAGTACCTGCCTGACACCTTTGCAGGCTCCTTTGTGGGACTGCTTCTCAGTCCCTTCTGTGGGGCTGTCCTTGCAGGCTAGGGCCAGGGACAGAGCAAGGTGCCTGAATCCCCAGTGATGATTGGATGGTGTCAGCAAGGGGGTACTGGGAAAGGTGGCATCCATGAGAAGCATTGAGTGTCTGGGGCTCAAGTGGAGAGGTTTGTTGGTTTATAAATTTGCTGTCTAAGGGGACAGAGAGATGGTGATTGGTCATGCCCATGTTGGGCCCAGTGGGATGTGGAAGAAGTCTGTGGTCCATGGGAGAGGTGCACTGGGGGAAGATCAGGTTGACTGGGCAGGGAGTGGAGGACAGCTAAGAGAAGGCAGAGGGTACAAGGCCGGGAGGCGCTGTGAGGAGGAGAACTTGTCTCCCTGTGGACAGGGTTGGGACCAGGGCCCTGCCCACTGCACTGCACATGCATGCCATGCAGGAGCCTGCCCTCAGCCTCTCCCAATAGAGAGAAGGTATTTCCCAGACAGCCAGTAACCAGCAGCTGAGTCACAGTGGGAACCCAGGAGTCCTGTACCTCCACACCAGCCCCAGACAGTCACCTCAACACCCAGGGACTATCCTTAACTGGCCTCTTCTTTCTTTCTCTCTACAGGACAGTAGCCTGCATCGTCACCCTGCTGACCATGAATGGGATGGCCAATGTGAATTCTGCCGGCCGCCTCCAGTATGCCTCCTCTATTCCTGTACCCCGGGCTGCTTCTCAGTCTCGGAGTCGAACACCTGCTGCTTCTCCTCAGCTGCGGCCACGCCAGGCTGGCCTGGCCCTCAGCCCCCAGCGAGCTGCCTCTCCAAGACTGGGCAGGGCTGCAGGCCCTCCCAGAACCTCATCTCCAAAGGCCTCCCTGGGGAGAGGTTCACCCAATGCTGCCCGGGCAGTGAAGGAATCGGCTGAGGGTAGTGAAGGTCTCCCCAGCTCCCCATGGAGCAGCCCCCGGGTGACACCAAAAGCGGCCCTGTCCAGTCGGGCCGGGGCCAGAAGAATCGGGGAGCCCACCGGCACCCATGGGAAGAAGAAGAAGGCCCAGGAAGGGACCTCAGGATGCCAGACTCGTGGCAGGAGCCCGTCCCGAACAAGCTGTCATACAGAAACTCAAATACTAGGCATTCCCGAGGATCAAAAGTCCCCCAGCTGGCCAGGACAAGACTATGGAGACATAAACTACACGGCTTCTGGGATGCTCAGGCCTTTGGAACCTGAGGATGACGTGACTTCAGGGGCTTCCTCGCCTGTGTGCAGCCCAGTGCGGGGCACACGCCCCTCCCCCATGCTGGGGGCCATTAGCTTCTCCTCCGTCCATCAGCAGAGTCAGCCAGTCACAGCCACTGTGGCTCCCTTTCAGTACAGGTGAGCTGGGGGCAGGGCTGGGCAGGGGTAGGTGGGAGGGACAGGGAAATTGGTGGTTTGTCCAAGCCCTAGGGCTTGGGTGACCAGTTTGGGAACCCAGGGGGAGGAAAAAGGCATAAAGCAGCTGGAAGCCTGGAAGATTGGGGAGATGGGGTGCTTAGTGAGCTGAGCTGGGATTGAGAGCTGAACAGGGTGCTCCTCACCCAAGCTGTGGTGTTTCTCAACTCTTGGGACCCCATGCCAAACAGACACAGATAAAAGGAAGATTTCCCCTCACCCAAGTCCATTCCACGTGCTGTCTGAGAAATGATGAAACACTATTAGGGTGTCATGGAGGCTTAAGCAGCTGGATATGCGAGTGGATCTGTACAAGTACAGTCGTGCCAGCTCATGTGGGATATCACTGGACATTAGATTGACCACACAGGTCTGGGCACAGTTGTTTTCAGGTCCTCATCGCTGCTCTTTGGTACCCTGTTGATACTTTGTGCTCTGTCTCTGTCACTCAACTGCCCATTGCATAAATTGTGTGTTCCTGGCCTGTGGGTGAGCACCGTGCTTCTTAAATGGACCCCCCCCCCAAATGTTGCCAGCGTTGGTGGTGGCAGCTGGGCCAGTATTTATAACACCACAGTCAACAAGCTGGGCTTGCCAGCTGTTTTCAGACATGGGGAGTTAAGTGCATAGAAAAACAAGCACTTAGCCAGCTATGCTTTTAAAATAAAAACATAAAATTCTTTGCTTTAGTTGACCACATTAAGTCAACTAAAAGTTAATGACTATTATGAAATGCCCAAATGCCAACTGAGTGTCTTCCCATGGAACTAACTGCTTGTGTGTTATGCTAAGGCAAGGAGAAACTCCCATATTTTGGGTACAAAAAAGCTTGTGAATCATTTCCCGGACACTGGGGGCCTTTTGAGGTAGCAGAGCAGCTGGAGCCTTAGAGTGTGTGTGTGCGTGTGTGTGTGTGTGTGTGTGTGTGTGTGAAAAACTGAGTGGAATAGTCCATTCCCAAAAATTGAGTCTGGGGGCAGGAAGTGAGGAGTCCCACTGTGTTTCTGCCGTGTTTAGGCTTCATTTGGAGGACAGTAGTGCCCCAAAACATACTGAGACAAGGACTGACAGATTGGTAAGGGGTCCAGAAAAAAGGGGGCTGTGAGAATTAGAGAAGGAACAGAAGTAGTTTACCATGGAAAGAGAGGGCTTCGAGAGAGTCTGAGAATGGTTCTCTGACATTTGAAGGGCTGTCATGTTCTAAGATAAATGAGATTTCCTTGGTGCAGCTCCAAGAGCTGATTTGGCATCATGGTGATGAGAAGTTTGCAGCAGATTTGAGGTCAATAAGAACTTTCCTACAATTTGAGAGGGCTGCGAAGGGAATGTAATCCAGGGAGTCCCTTGCTACTGCAAGCATCCTGGCTCGCTCTGTGGCCAGTGGGGCTTCTTTCCTGGGTGATGCCTGGTTCACAGAGTCCCTTCTGCCTGGCTGTGCTGTCTGCACAGGACCCGTAAAAGGGGCTCCTATGTCCGAGAGCACCTCACTTCTGTTGCTCGGGGACTTGCTACTGTTAGATTCTGAAGCTGATGAGAAAACCCAAAGAACAGATATGCAAGGCCAACCTTTGGAACGAACACCTTTTTCAATCATGGTGATGTTTCTCTCTGGTGACTTCCTTCTAACTGATGCCTTCATTCAGAATTCATTTTTCAGGAGGAAAGTATCTAGGAATTAAATTGTGTAGAATTTATCTCGCTTATCGTACAAGTCCCCTGGTACAGTTAGCACCTGACTTTTTCCAAGGAGGTCAGGATTTTTTCAGTCTGAACATCTCCATGCCTCTTAAACAGAGCCATGTTCCCTTCATTCAGTGAATGCCCACAGCCTGTCTGCATCTCCCACAGACACTCCTGAGGCTATTTCCTCCCCATGCCACCTTGTAGGCCTTGGATCAGGGCTGGAGGAGAGTCATGACCCGAGCAAGGTAAGATTAGGACCAGGAGCACCCCAAAGATGCTACAGGCAGGTGGACAGAAGCCAGCACACCCCGCAGGGTCTGGAGCTGCTGCCATAGGCAGCCCTGCCAAGGGCCAGGCTGGGCCATCCTTCTATGCTTCCCAGCCAAAGAGCTGCCATCTGTCCCCTAGAATCCACAGATATCATGTCTTCGTGGAAATCCAGGTCCCCTTCCTCCCCCCAGCACTTGGTCTCCTGCAGGTCTCTATGTCTCTTTGCATCTGTCTGCATCCCTGGCCAGCTGTGCCTGACCTGCTTCCCCGGGCAGTGAACCTGTATGCCATTGTACCAGGCCACTTCCTGCATAGCCGCCTCCTTCTAAGGTGCTGGGTGTGGGATTCCCATAAAGCTTTTCTCCTGCCACTCACCCTGTGTGTCTGGATGCCCTGATCCATAGTGCACTGTCCTGGTCCTCCTGTCTCACACATCTGATTCTGTTACAGCCGCCACCTAGCTCCCTCCACTTGCCTGGAAAAGAGCCACTGTGTGCCTCCCGCTGGCTGCCGCCTTTGCTTTTGCTCACAGCTCTCTCCTTGCCTTGGGCCGAGGGCGGTGGAGTCAGGAGGCGGGGCTAGCCTCTGGTTAGGCTTCCATCCGGAGGGTTTGGGTCAGTGGTCAGGAGAGTAGGTCATGAGTGCTGCCACTGTGGTTTTCTTCTCTGTGGCCCTACCAGTGTCCAGCTTCCAGGGCAAACTATATTGTCTGACTGAGGATTCAAGTAGACCTGGAAGCCAAGCTGTGGGAAGAGGGGATACCAGTGGTATACACTGATGATACAGGGTTGATGGCTGCTTTCCTCAGTGTTCCTGGGATTGGAGTTCCTGGCCTATCAACCCGTGCAGCCTCCCCTACTTCCTGTCCCTGATGGCAATAGCAATCACACCAGCAAAACCCTGACCTTTATCTTCTTTAAAATTTATTTGTTCAAAAGGCAGATTATAGAGATATCCTCCATCCGGTGATTCACTCCCCAAACGGCTACAACAGCCAGAGCCAGGAACCTGAAATGCCACCCAAGTATCCCATGTGGGTACTTGGGGTTCAGACGTTTTAGGTCTGCTGCTTTCTCAGATGCATTAGCAAGGAGCTGGATTGGAAGTGGAGCACTCAGGGCTTGAACTGGAGCACGTATGGAATGCTGAGATCATAAGTGGCAGTTCAACCCTCTGTTCCACAATGTTGACCCATGTTCTGCTCTTTAATCCTGGTTACTGTCAGCTTTCTCTTGGTCAGATCCTGTGCCTAGCTGTTTGCATTGATGATGTTACTGAAGAAAACATTTGCTATATTGTGTGAAGCCTCTCCCTGTAGAATGAACCCTTACCTTCTTCCAGTATGTTGTATCTGTTGCCTCAAAAGCCCAGATGCATGCTACTTCATTCCGAGAAACAGCCAAATCCCAGTATTTCCTTGTCAGCTTGGTGCTCCTGTACCTGGGTGAACGGCAGAACATGGTGACCATCCTGACATTAGCAAGCCCTCCCAGAGAGCCAGCCTTGGGCCTCTGTGCCCTACACCTACCTGAGGAGGAGGGGCAGAGCCTGTGTGCCTTAGAAAGAGCTGAGCGGTGGCAACAAGCAGCCCACACAGCCAGGAAATGTCAGACCAGCCCGGGCCTTCATGCACACCTCTTTGCCCCCTTTTTAGAGGAAGCATCTGGGTTAGCAGAAGAGAATTGCTCCAGGTGACAACACAAGGCCATGGCAGAGCTGGGTGCACAGCCCCAGCCATGGAGGTATTGACCAAACTAGAAACCAGAGAGAGTAAAAACCAAGCCTCAGTAGCACTGGAATCTTAGGGTCCCAGGGCCCAGACCGCCAATCTCCTCTCCTGCTTGTTCCACCCTCCCCTCCCCCTCTGCCAAGCTGCCAAAGGGTCCATTTAGCTGGAGACAGTGGGCGGCGGGTGGGCGGGCCAGCTCTGAGAGCCCAGGGTAATTGCTATAATGAAAGCTCCCACAGCCTTTGTTCCTGGGAGTGGTTGTATGCTTGGGGTTGTGCTTGGAGGGCTGTGTGCTTTGGAGCTGCTGCCCATAGACCTCACGGTTTCCTTCCTGTTGCCACCAGGGCCTGACACGGACTTGCCCTCCTCAGACTCACTATGACCCATGCTGAGCCCGCACCTCCTTTGCTGACTTCCTAGTGGCCTGGACTGTGAGCAAACCCAGGGAAGCCTTTGCACCCTCTCAGAAAGCATCTGTGACATCACTTCTGGGGGAGCTCTTCCCTGTGTGTGTGCACATCTCAAGGGCAGGGATGGTGGCAGCATGGAGGACCTGAGGCGTGGAGTGATTAGGGGATCCCACTGCTCTGTGGGCTATGTATGTCCCCAGGGACAGATGAAGCGCCAAAGGGGGACTGGTCTCTGGCATCCCCATGCCTTCGGGGACTCCTTGTCAGGCCTAGCTTTGCAGAGGGGCCTGCTTCCTGCTGCACATACCTAGTAGGCAAGCCAGCCCAGATGTGTTCAGGGCATAGGTAAAAGAGAAAAACCTGTTCTCTTAGCTCCTGGAGAGGAGCTTTGAGGCCAAGGTAACCTCTATCACAAGTAACAGTCCCTCTCGGTCCCACAGGCTCCAGAAAGACCAGGAGCCTGGCCCTGCTCCCCAGGGCCCCTGGAAGCTCGATGGCTCCTGTGCACCCCTCAGCAGGCCTGAGGAGAGCTTCTCCTGCATGGGTAAGTGCTCTGGAGTCTCCCTCCTTGGGTGCGGGTGCCTGGCTAGATAATGCTTGACTGCCTAATGGAAGAAGGGGCATGTGGGTCTGTTCCTTGACAAAGGGATGCCAACTTCTGAATTTCACCTTGGGTTCTTGCCATGCTTGACTCCATCCAAAGTTGGTCTGTCACATCCAGCAGCACCCTGGGTTGAGGATAGGAAAGTGGTAGGCAGGGGCTGTGTCTTGTAGGAGTCACTGTGTGTGTGTGTGTACCACATGTGAAGTCGGGACTCAAAGGTCACAAGCTGAGAGAGTGAGGGCCAAGTTCTGAGCAAGGGCCCACTTGGAAATGAAGGTGCTGGGAGCTGGGGGACAGGCCAGAACACACTGGTTCCCCCCCAGTAGCACTTTCAGTGGACTCGTTCCCACGTTGTCCTGTAACACATACATGGTGTATTTGGTTAACTGAGAGAAGACGACTCCTCTGATCAGATCCATGGCCTGACCCAGATGCACCCTCAGGCACTTCCAGTCTCTGAATGAATGAATGACCAGTGAGTGAGTGCCTCATGTATCTAAGTCTGGTCCTGAGTGGGACAGACCCTAACCTTGGCGGCATTTAGGAGGTGTGTTGCTGCACACATGCCAGAGGCAGGGACCTGGCCTTGTCCTTTAGTCTCCTAGACAAAAACAAACTTGTCCCATCAAGAAAATCATAACTTGCTTTTGCAAAGCCTAAGATGGTCCAGAGCACTTTGTCTTACAGCTTGATTTGGTACCCTGCTCTGGTGGGCAATGAAGTGCTTAGGGTGCCTGGAGAGCCTTGGGCAGTGATGATGTGCCATGCCCTTTTCTCTGTATGCCACCAGGCAGGGGGCTGTTAGTTGGGCTTTTGGAACCCTCTCCACATGCGGTCAGTGGCAGCCCTGTAAACAGAGCAATAAGGCTTACTCTTCCAAGGCAAGCCTCAGGCAGGAGGGAGGGAGAGGGCTGTGGGCAGGGACCGGCATTTAAAAAACAAGCTGTCCACCCACAATAAGTATACACGTCGAGGAACCAGGGCATGGCAGGGGACAAAAGCAAACTCAATTTTACTGGCACTGAAAAACCATCAGAATTAGAATGTGGTAACCAGGAAACTATGTGGAGCTCTATTTTTACATTTGCAGTTTTGTTAGCGTAATGGCTTCCTTATGTGTCTGCCGCGGTGTTGGAACCTAATTGTTAGCCGATGAGTTGGTAAGAGGACATTGACTTTGTGCATCTATGGCAGACTGGCATTAGGACTGCCCAGGTTCGGCAGCTGGAAGACTGGCTGGGCAGCTGGGAGACTGGCTCACCAGCTAGAGCCCAGGTGGGGGGCTGTCACAGACTGCACCCCTCCATGGTCTTGTGCGGGTAGCCTTCACTGACTCCCAGTGGGAGCACTGGCATCTTCCCAGACTCCTAGGGAAGGGGAGCGAGGCTGACAGTGCCACCTGCATGTTGGCACCCGCCAGATGCAATGGAGATCCATCTGTGCTGAGTGTCCACTGAGCTCTTGTGGGTTGCCTTGGCAGAGGTTTAGGACTTGCCTGCTTTGTGCAGGTGCCTCCTACCTTCTGTGCTCTGAGTAAACAGAGAGGAAATGATCAGGTTCCATTTTGCACCTTGCTCTTCCCACCCTGAGCCTACTCAGGGCCTGCCAGGACTGGCTGATTCGATCTATAAAATAGCAGCAAGTGTTTGCCTGGTACTATACACGTCACATCAGGGTAACAGGTGGATGAGATTTTGCCCTGCCTTCAAGGAGTTCATGGTCTGACAGCAGTATTTATCCAGAGAATTTGACAAGGCAGCCAGTCATGCCTTGCTTTCCAGATCTTTCCCATTATGAGGCCACTGGTCTCATTCACATCCTGCCTTGAGGGAGGGAGAATTGGGTACCTTGCAGAGGACCTATCATATCTGAATCCATGGCACTCCCAGGAGCCAGCAGAGACATTCCATAGTTGTTGATTATGTTGTGCCTATATCATTGTGGAGGTGATGGAGAACAGTGCTTTTATTGAAGCTCAGATATCTCCCCTTCCTATTCACATACACACCCTGTTCCGCATCACTTAGTCTGGTACCTGGCTGTTGGCGTTGGGTTGGGAATCCAGAGTCAGCAGCCATTGAGCCCCTGTGCTCTCTGGGAGCCTGCTCTTATGCCACCAGCTGGCAAGGAACCGCCAATCTACTCTGCTCTGTTTGCAGTCTGGTTCTCTCTGGCGTCCAGGCTCACTGCTTGGGAGTCCTTGAAGGGAGCCCAAGGAGATCCAAGAGCTTGCTCAACCTTGGGGCAGTTTTCTTCCTTCCCTTCCCTGCCTGAACCCCTGGTAACTCCACATGAAGCTTTCCCATTTTTCTGTAGCTGAAGAATTTCCCATGATGACTTGCCACTAAGCAAAGTAATAGGGACAGCCTCCCTACATCCAAAAGCCACCTCTGAGCAGCTGTTTCTCCTGCTTATGCCCCGAGGCAAATGCAAGTGCCCAGCCCAGGAGTACATGTGCATGTGCCCCAGCCCTCTTGGCCTGCCTGGTTCTACTGGTGAGAGACCAGTGCTGGATATAGCCTTGGTTGCTATCTGTGCCAGGTCGTGTCCAGAATGCCACTATATCTCCATTTGGGCAGCTGAGGGATGCTGGGGGCTATCGCTGCAATGTGCCCACATATGTGAGGCTGTGTGAAGACTGGGAAGGGCTGCCCTAAGGTTTACACAGATTCCCCAATGACTTGCCCTGTGGCGTGTGTTTGAGTGAGCACTGAGTGTCCAGGGAGCCAGCCACGGCCTGCCCCTGCCTCCTTCTCCAGTCAAGGTTGGTGTCTAGAGAGGGGCAAGGAAGGGGTCGGGGGAACAGGGGAGGTTAGCCTCTTGTTGGCATTATTGTGTTCTTCTCCTCCTTCTTCCCCCTTGTTGAGCTGACTGTATTGTTAAGCTGCAATTAAGTTGGGCTGTGGCTTTGGGAGAAGGACCAAGTCTCCATTTTAAGAACACTTGCACAGCTGGTATGCTCTTAAGCAGGGCAGCTGTGAGGGTTGGTGGCTGCACCCTCTGGGTCCTTCAGTGGGCTGCAGCCCACCATGCTCTTCCGGGAGTTGCAGACTAAACCCAGGTAGCTCAGGACTACTAGTGATCCGGGATGGAAAAGCATAGGTGACCAAGCCTCGGAAGGACCTCACAGGTCACCCATGTTCCCCTTATCTTCCTTGGCTGATGGCATTTGCATGGTGAGCTGGCAGGCCAACTGGGGCCAACATCACTGCCTCCTGACTCACCAAACACCGGACTAACCCAGTGGTACCCATGACCTGCATTTCTCAAACATCAAAAAAGATTTGTTTATTTTTATTGGAAAGACAGATTTGCAGAAAGAATCAGAGACAAGAGAGAAAGATCTTCCATCTTCTGATTTACTCCTCAAATGGCTGCAATAAGCTAAGCTGATCCAAAGCTGAGCCTCGAACCTGGGTCTCGCACTGGGTGCAGAGTCCCAAGGCTTTGGGCCATTATTGGCTGACTTCCCAAGCTACAAGCTGGGAGCTGGATGGGAAGTGAAACAACCAGCACATGAATTGGTACCCATATGAGATGCCAGCACTTGCAGGGGGAGGATTAGCTAATAAAGCCATTACACCAGTGATTATTTATTTGAAAGGCAGAATGGCAGAGAAAGAGAGAGGGGGAACTTCCATCCACCATCCACTGATTCACTTGTTAAATGTCTGTTACAGCTGGGGCTGGGCCAGGTCAAAGCAAGAAACCACAAGCTTCTTCCCAATCTTCCACATGAGTGCAAGGGCTCAAAAACTTGAGCCATCTTCTGTGCTTTCCCAGGGACATTAGCAGGAAGCTGGATCAGAGGTGAAACAGTTGAGATTCAAATCCGTGTCTATATGGGATGCTGGCATTGTGGGAAGCACCTCAACCCCAGTACCACAATGCCAGTCTGTGTTACAGATGAGCAAACCAAGTTCAGAGACATGAGAACGGCCTGTCTGAAGATGCATAGTGTCAGGGACCATGGTGAGTTCTGACCCTGGCTGGTCAGAGGCCAGGTCAGCCTCCTGTTACCCGCTACTTTCCATCCAACGCTGGTGCTCCATGTAGTTGTTGCCACTCTTTCTCTAAACCTCTGCCACATGGTAGGGAAGAGAATGGGGTCAGTGAGTCACAGGCCCCACTGATGTCATCCTCAGCGCAAGCAGGTCCCAGATGTCCCTGGGCTCTCTGTCTTTGCAGAGCTGTGTCATTTCAGGCTGAATTCTCAGTGCCGTACTCCCTGCCCTCTGGGGACTTCTGGGCCAAGATGAGCCTGATGTTGCAACCATCTGTAAAGAGTGGACATGCAAACAGTTGACTAGAAAGCAGAGCAAGATCAGGGGTAGTTGACGTTAGCTGTGTCTTCAGGGCCCCAGGCAGTTCAGCAACGCTGCTAGCAGAGGAGGTCTGGGAGCATGACCTGTGATCCTTCTCAGGCTGCTGGCTGAGCTTGGAATGTGGCTGTCCATTGTCACTGGGAAGCCTCAACTGAGTGGTTCAAGCTCTGTGCCCAGGATGGTCCCAGCAACTGCCTCATAGGGGTCTGTGAGGATGGAATCGTCAACACAGGGAACTGGCTGAGAAGAGAACCCAGGACATAGAACTGTGGAGTCCACATTCAGTGTTGTGATAGTAGGAAGTGCTGTTGTTACTATGTGTAGATTCATTGGTTTATTTGAAAGCTAGAGTGATAGAGAAAGCAAGCAAGAGAGAGTGAGAGAGAGCAAGTGAGTGCTTCTTTCTGCTGGCTTACTCCCCCAAATGGCCTCAACATCTGGCGCTGGATCAGGCCAAAGTTAGGAGCTAGGAACTCCATCTGGGTCTTTCAAGTGGATGCAGGGACCCAGGCACCTGAGTCCCAGTTGGTGCTCGCATATGGGATAAGCTTACCCTGCAGTATCACAACAGCCCCAAAGAAGTGCTGGTATTATCATGACCACTTCACAGGTGAA